AGAGAGAGAGAGAGAGAGAGAAAGAGAGAGAGAGAGAGAGAGAGAGAGAGAGAGAGAGAGAGACTGACTGGCAAAATTAAATATGGGTCAAATTGCGGCCGCGATCTATTTTGCAGTTGGAATGATTTTTTTTTATTTATTGGCTCAGGCATGGCTAAGTGGCAAAAATGAAAAATGTGCCGAATCGGTGCGACGATTATTTCGCAGTGTAAATGATTTTTTTTTAATGTTTTATTATTATTTCTGGAAAGAACACGACCTCATCTATGGATTCTCAAAATTTTAGATTTTTGTGCATGTTCATTCGGGCACAGAAAATCGCCAAAGTTGCTTTTTGCAAAACGCCTCTTTCGTTGTGCCTGACCTCCCTGTTTTGAGAAAACGGGGCTCAATGCCTGGGCCTGAGGGCCCTTTTGCAGTTCACATGCCCTCACTTCTTTTTGGGGTCCGCTTCTACCCGGGGTCCGGTCCAATGCCCCCCACTTTTTTTTGGGGTCCACTTCCACCCGAGGACAGGTCCTTCCTTTTTCCAAAAGTCCCGGTTATAGCCGAGCTAGCTGTAGGTAGTCCGCAGTTTTGCCAAGGACCGGTCCCCCAAATTTTTTTGCCCCCTAAGAACCCACTTTGCGTCCTGGTCACCCACCGCCAAAAATGCGACACCTTGACACAGACGCGGAAGCCCACTATAGTAATTGTCAACTGGTAGATAAGCATCCTTGTTTGCATATCATTAACGCACTATGTCAGTGTCATCGACACAACACTATAAGAATTAAAATGCATTGTTTGTTAACACGATTGAGAAAAGTTTGTCGAATGTAGGGGTTTGAGTAGAAGATAGTAGAGGTATGTCGGGGGAGGGGTAGATTGTTAAAGGTGAGATGTGCAGTATGAGCTTTAAAAGTAGGATGTTGCGATGGTTGTCGGAGCTCTGGCAGACACCTAAGTATCGAAGTTTTCGACCTCCATTTGGAATGGGTGGGGCAGATAAAACATAAGACAATGAAAGCGAAATTGTAAATTTAAAAACGTGTGAAGAAATGACATTACATTTGATCATCTTTATATTCTGTTTTTTTTTGTGCAAGTATTAATATATATATTATAAAAGTTTGTGATATAAGATATGTACATCATATTCGAAGGATAGGCGATCGTAAGAAGCGAAGCAACGAAACAATAAGAATCCCCCTTGTGTGATCGATACGACTACCGTTTGAATGGGATCGCTTGTAAAGCACAGTTGTGAAATTATTTCTTGTGTCTATATCAAGTTTTGACGTTATTGAATATGAAAAGTAATTGTCAACTGGTACATAAACATCCTTGTTTGCATATCATTAACGCACTATGTCAGTGTCATCGACACAACACTATAAGAGTTAAAATCCATTGTTCGTTAACACGATTGAAAAAAAATTGTCCAATATGCAATAATATATTTAAAGCGATATGCATCAGTATGAAGAAAATGAATAGAAGACGCATAAGGAGGTGAGAATGAAAAAAAAAAAAAAATAATTAGGAAAGGGGAAAAAATACATTAGAAAAACTAAGAAAGCAAAATAAGGTAAACTATAATTGGTCAATGCATTGAATGTGCATTTGTTCATAAAACTTTAAGAGATTCGAGATACATCAAAAATATAAATTCGTAAAATGATGAAAGTGAAAGCGGCGAGGATCCAAATAGCGAGTTCATATATATATATATATATATATATATATATATATATATATATATATATATATATATATATATATATATATATATATATTCCCTTTATCTTGTACGAGCGATGACACTAAAGGAACTATATGTTATCAAAATATAGGATAGGAAAAAACGTGATGATAATTTTTTGTTCAAAGGTAGTCATTGTTTACTGTTGCTCATAAGTGTGTTTGTAAATATTTTTTCGAGGTATGCCAGGTTGTGATTCTGACTCT